GGAGCCCTGGCCCAGGCTGCCCAGGGAGGCTGTGGAGTCTCCTTCTCTGGAGATATTCCAGCCCCGCCTGGCCGCGGTGCTGTGCAGCCTGCTCTGGGTGACCCTGCTTGGGCAGGGGGCTGGGCTGGGTGACCCACAGAGGTCCCTGCCAACCCCGACCATGCTGTGATTCTGTGACATGCCATGACAGGAGTCGGAGGAGCTGGAGGCGGGGGGGTTCCTGGTGGAAGGCCTCATCCCTTTTGCTCTAGGGATTTCAGTTGATGCTCCTTCATCAGCACTTCTAGTCTGAACTCTTTAGGGCAAAACCTGCATCTCTTTCCCGCATTTGGAAGGCCCTGTTCTCTCTCTTTCTTCGGGCTGGCTGCCAGAGAGGGGAAGGAGCTGCCTGGCTCCTGGGCGGTTGCTGTGACGCGGCTGGGGCTCCGGACCCACGCGCTGGACTCTTCGTCCTTGGGCTCGTTGATCTAGCCGCCTCCTGAGTCGTGTTTTGCGTTCTGCAGGTTACCCACGCTATCTGGTCGTAGGAGACCACCTGTCTGGAGAGCATCACTTGAAGATCCTGAGAGCCGATCTCCAAGATGACGCTGTCTATGAGTGCCAGGCCATTCAAGCGGCCATCCGATCCAGACCTGCCCGGCTGACTGTTCTCGGTAAGTCCCTTCTCCTCATCACGTTGGTAGCTGCTTGCTTTTTGGGGTTTTTTTTTGTTCTGGTGGTTGTAGTGAGTGGCTTTTTGACGAAATGTTTTGGGAAGTGGGAGAGTAGCGCTGGCGGAGGGCTTTGCCGACAGGCTGGCAAAGCGGCTGTGGGTGCTGATGGGGAGAGCCGGGTCAGTGAGGCTTCCCAGAATGGATGTGGCTTCAGAGAAGGTCGTGGAAATGGTGTCTCGTGAAAAGGTGCGACCAGAAAACGCTCCCAGATACATCCCTGATTATTCAACCCCCAAAGTGAAACTGTGCACGTATTGAAGTTTGTTTAAATTGACACTTGGGTTTGATTTTTTGTTGGTTTTATTTATTCCTATTTAAACTTCAGGGGGAAAAATTCTTTAAAAAAAATCCCAGCCAAGAGTTTTAGTGCTTTTAGCCAGATCACCGCTCATTTGTCTTAAGCAGCCAAAAAAAGTGAACCGAGGAGCTCGTTGTGGTTGAAGGTGCCGCTGGCCGGAGTCTGCGTGCCGCCGCAAAAACGAGTTCTCATTTCTGGTCTGTAATTCCCCCTGCGTTGGTTTTCCTCTCTCCACAGCCCTCCAGAGTACCCCCAAACTTACCCGATGGCCATCTCTTCCTCCCCCGACCCCTGAGATAACGATGATCTCCTTTTGATCCATCCTTCTGCTCGTGAAAGAAGCCCATGAATGAATCAGAAGCTGTCGGGGGGGCTTCCCCGCTTACCAACAACCCCCCCACCCTGCGTCGCCTTCCCCTCCTTCGCCTGGGCTCCCTCCTCCCGTGGCGAAGGCGGAAAGAACGTCGCTGGCGCCGGACAAAAGAAATGATGTTATTTAATTAGAGCTAAAGATTTCCAAACTAATTTAGTCCCAGGGCGCGCGGGCGTACGTCAGAGCTGCTGCGCGGCGTTGATTGAGCGGAGAGATGGTTTTATGGATCAAAAGGAAATCGTTATTATCTTTGGGGTTGCGGAATGTCTTGAATAGATGGTAGTTAATGTTTATGTGAATATACACGGTAGTTGCTAATTGGTACATTTACCTAAGATGTCGGGCAACTTAATATTTGCAGGGTGTTTTTCCTTTTAAGAAAATCAAAAAAAACCAAACAGGCAAAGTGCTTTCCAGAGACAAGGCTGGGGTGAGACAGAGCGGGATGGGGTTCCCCAGAACTGCTGCCAACATCCCCGGCCGCCCGAGCCGCCGGCAAACCCAGGAGCACGCTTGGGGCTCCCGTTCGACTTCAATCGATGGGGAAAATGGGGCTGTGCGACCGGTCGGTGGCACGTCTTTCGCTTCAGATGTATTCATGGAGACGTTCTGGGGAAATTTGAGGCCGGTTGGGGAGGTACAAGCCATAACCCACGGACTTGGAAGGCCGTTAGCGACCGGCGGATCGCGCCTCGGTACCCTTGCGGTAGGACGCCGCGAAGGTGGATGTCGCGGTCTGCGTTTTCGCCGGCCCGACAGCGGGGACGGAGCGCGCGTTTGCGTAGGGACACGGAGAGAAGCTTTCGGTGGTTGCAGATGGGTGATGCCGCCAGCCGCGCGGGCGTTGCTCCTCTTCGGATCCAGCGACGTCTCTGGTGGGACGTGGATCGCCCTGATTTCTTCTCGCTGGGTTGGGAAGGGACGCGATGGGCTGCCTGACCCACCTGGTTTGGAGAAGTGGCTGGTGGGGCGTTGCTGGTCGCTTTTTAGTGGCATCTGGGGTGATTCATAAATCCAGGAGGGATTACTTTTAAATCAGTCGTAGAAGTCCTCTGCACGAAAGCCAGCCTGACTCGGGCATCCCGCTGCCTGGGCTGCCTTCTCAGCCATGGCCAGGAGGGAGACTTCAAACCCTGCTCCCACCTCCAGCATCCTGGCAGGCGGAGGGGATGGAGTCACAGAATCACAGAATAGTAGGGGTTGGAAGGGACCTCTGTGGGTCATCTAGTCCAACCCCC